GCTGTAACAGGAGATGGTGTTAATGATTCACCTGCACTTAAAAAAGCAGATATTGGTTACTATACAAATTATAAAATAATAAGATATTTATTATTACCATAAGAACATTTAAAATTCATCATATTGTATATATTATTCAGGTGTTGCAATGGGCATTTCTGGATCAGATGTTTCAAAAGAAGCAGCTGACATGATTCTTTTAGATGATAATTTTGCTAGTATTGTTACTGGTATAGAAGAAGGACGTTTAGTATTTGATAATTTAAAAAAGTCTATTACTTATACTCTTTCATCTAATGTTCCTCAATTACTGCCGTTCATTGCATTTATCATGCTAAGCATACCATTGCCTATTGGTGCTATTGCTATTTTATGCATTGATCTTGGTACAGATATGGTAAGCATAAATGTATATTGTTTTTAATATTGTTACGTTGACAGATATTTTCTTTGGCAGAATGTTGATAATTATTTGGTTTGACGTTTGCTCACTACAGTTTTGTTTATAATTAGGCTAAACACATGAGGTAAACCATTGACTTTTTTTTATTATTCTAGAAACTGACATAATTTATATCTAATCAGTTTTATAATTTCCTATTTAAAATGCTATCTCCATTAGGTTAACAAATAAATATAATATTTTCTCTAAAGAAATATTCAAAAGTTAAAAATATTAATTAACTTAACTTTGATTTTGTAATGTGTCATTAATTGTCTTATAATTATTAGTTGTAAKAAATGATGTGATATATAAATATGTGTTAATGGTAATGTGCAAATATAGAGAATTTAACTTTTTTAACAATATTAATCAGTGGTGGATCTAAGATTATAAAAAAAAATGTCTTGGTTGTAATGAAATCTGGATCATATGTTTGAAAGTTGTGTATCATGTAGTCTTCCCAAAATCATTCCTTATAAAATCATGTTGGTATTATAAGTGTTTTTAAAAATTTGGTATTACCACGAGTTGAACTTATACATAAAAGATGTATCAACTACTACTTGCATTGAAATTTTTTTTTCCTGTATTGAGTATGATGGCATKGCAATTTTTTTTATTTCAATAATACTTTTTKAGTATAGGTAATCAGTATAAGTATAATATAATGTATTATATTTAGTGGCCTATGAACAATTTATTATGCAAGTGTAAAATTGTATTTCAAGTACTCAAAAATTTTTTTTATTTTAGTAATTAATGTGACTTAATTACTTTAATTTTGATTGTTCCTCCATCCATATGTTAAAAACAAAATATAATATATTATGTAAACAAATATTCATAAATTTGCAATATATAACAACAATACTAAAAAACAACAATTTTTTTATTAAATTTGTAAATTTCGAGTTTATATTCACACAATTATTACAAATATTAATAAAAAAATTAGTTAATGATTTATTAAGATAATGTTAGGATCTATAGCTATTTTGAGAATTTCCATTAACATATCTTATTTAAGCAGGGTGGTATGTAAAGAACTTAATTAAAAAAAAAAGTTTAAATTTTGATAAAGACAATTGAGAATCAACTTTTAAACATTTATATGGTACCAGTTAAATTAATTTGTCATGTTAGATAAACTTTATTTAAAGGAAAGAATTTCATTTTCAAAAATAATTTTGGAGACCTGATTATTCTTGATTAAAAGTATTATTTATACATTTAATTATAAAAAGATTGAAAAAAWAAATATAAACCTGTTTTGGCTGAGCTCAGTTGAAATATTATGAGTGCTTATATCTACTACTAATATTAATTAGGGTTGGGCAGATACTACTTTTACCGATATAGTTTTAGAACAACATTTTTGGCATAAACGTGTACCAATATTAAAAAAAGACTTAAACAATAAACTGATATCAGCTATAATCGTCAATCGATACCCAATAACACAAATTTCACATATTAACATTCATTATTGTTTATCAATAAATAAAGATATATAAATTTTAAGTTACTTGTTTATTTATTCTGTCATTTAAAGTAAATTAAAAGAAAATTATTAGATAATAAAGAACATTAAACATTATACTATTTAAACTTATTAGTCTGTCCTTCCATGGTAGACACAATTTTTTTATTGTGGTTAGCATTATTAATTGTTTTTTGTTTTTTGGTATCAGTTCAAATAGAAAAAAAAAATTGATACTATTTAACCACCTGATAACAGTAATAGAAAGTATCGGCCCACCCCTTATATTATTGATTTGTTATATTTTTAGAAACTAGATTTCAGTAGTTGATTAATTAATAAATAATCGTGTTTTTAATTTGGCTAAAATGCTTGATAYACTATTAGCTAGAGCTTAAAATAAATATTTGTCAGTGAATTTAGTGGATATTTATAAAAAATATAGAAATTAGAAGTAGGTTTTGAACTCCATTAGAATGGGCTTATTGTATTTAGGTTCCAGCCATTTCATTGGGTTATGAGCATCCAGAATCAGATATAATGAAGCGCCCTCCTAGAAATCTAATTAGAGATAAACTTGTGAATAACAGGTGACTATATAATTATGCAGTATTTATTGTTGTATTGCTTATGCTTTTTGTCTTAGTTGCTTTGATATTTTGAATAATAATTAACACACGTATTTCTGCATAAATTTTGTTTTTGAAAAAATCTTGACCATACGAATCTGTAATCTTGACAGCTATTAAATATTTAAGCTTTCAACAACATAACAAAACGTAACAAAATAACTTTAAAAAAAAAATGTTTGTGGATGATTTGTTTGTTATTTTGGGACTGCTAGATGCCTGGCATATCATTGGCATATGAACCGGGCGAATCAAACCTGATGAAAAAGAAACCAACTATTAAAAACCCTCTATTTAATGCCAGGTAAACTATATACTATTTGTTTCCTTTGAATCTCTTCATTAGTGAATTGCTTGGCAAGTAGTATTTAGCATATTATAATAATAGCAAAATAATGTTAATGAATTATAATTGTAAACTTATTTAAATTAATCACTGTTTTTATTTATTTATTTATTTATTTTAAGATTAATATCTTTGGCGTTTGGTCAATTGGGTGTTATCGAGGCATTTKCTGGTTTTTTCACTTATTTTGTAATCATGGCTGAGAATGGATTTATGCCATACAAATTAATTGGAATACGTCGTGAATGGGATTCGAGGGCAGTTAATGATTTACCAGATTCTTATAATCAAGAATGGGTAAATTAAACTAAAATATATGTGTTAACAAGTTCAACAAATCATTATTTAAATTTCACTTTTAGACCTATCAAGACCGCAAATCCTTAGAGTATACATGCCATACAGGCTTTTTCATAGCCATTGTAGTAGTGCAATGGGCAAATMTTATTATATGTAAGACAAGAAGAAATTCAATCACACATCAAGGAATGAGGTTAGGAAATAGTTATTGAAAATTAAGTTTCAAAAGTTAATTAATACTCCGTTATATTTTTAGAAATATGGCTCTGAACTTCAGTTTAATCTTTGAGACAGTCTTAGCATTGTTCTTGTGTTATTTACCTGGGATGGATGAAGCTTTACGCATGTATCCATTGAAGTAAGACATTTATTATTTGTCTTAAGTATTACAATTTATAAATRTATACTATTACTTTTTTAGRTGGACTTGGTGGATTCCTCCAATACCATTCATGCTAGCTCTATTTATTTATGACGAAGTTAGAAAATTTTACATAAGACGAAATCCTGGTGGATGGTTAGAAAAGGAAACATATTATTAAGTTGTTCCCGATGATTGAAGTTAATTAATATTAATAGGTATTTAATTTAATATCATAATCATTTGTTAGAAACATATTTTTTTAATGTAAACATTGTCTTAAACTCATTATTATCTATTGATCTTATTTATATTTCAATTCTTAAGTATGGCATGCACTATAATAGGTAATATTTGTTCAAATTAATAATAACAGTTAGTTAATTATTAAATTATTATAAATATTTTTACTATGTTAAACCAACACATAAAGCTATAATCCCAACAAGTTATTTTATCAGTATATACAGGGTTGTTGAAATTTTAATGACAACATTTAAATGACATTGGCTTACTTTTTTATTGTTTCTTTTATACATTTTGGGCCGTGATGTACTCAATATTATAAAATACAACTTATATAGTTGGAGAAACATCACTTTACACTATACATAATATTTACCTATTACATGGATAATTAAACTTATAATTTAGATTAACTAGTAGTAACAAAATTATGATATTTAATTAAACATCAAAATATAATAAAAATTATTAATTATTATTTTTTTATTGAGCTCTATGTTCATTTTTTGATTACATGCAATTAAAATTTAAAGCTTTTTAGAACTTATTTTATCAGCTTTAATAATGAACTATCTTTCTTAAGTTTGTATTATATTTTAATAAACTTATAGAGCATTATACATTTATTATGCTTTGAAAATCTCATCAAATACTAAAGTATATTTTGAATGTATTATTAATTATTCATCTTTCTTTTAGATCTTAAAATCCAATTCTGATATTTTTAAATAATTTATTTATATGTATAACTTATGGACTATCTTATATATTTTTTTATAATCAATAGTATTAATAGACAATTATTAGTTCTATATTAATAAACTTACACTATTTATTTAAGATAGTAACCCTGAATATTATTATAAGATAAACCAGTAAATGTTTTACCATGTGAAAAAAAAAGAAACATTTTACAAGCTTAATACTTAAATGTATTTAAAAATATGTATAACTATTGTTTATTTAACACATAAAAAGTTATAACTATAAATAAATTATATAAGGATATGAGAGAATTTACAACTTAATCATTTTTATTTTAAAATACATAAGTATTTTTGTATTTCTGTTGGTTAATAAAAGTTAATTAATATATAACCTTAAATATAAGAGCTTTTGAAATGTATAACTGTTATTTAAACATATTTTAAACATAATTTGTAACAACTGCAATATTTTTTTTCTAAAATTATTTAAGTGAGTTTTTTTTAAATATTTTTAATTATTATTATTTATATATTATATTATTGTATACATGCAAGTGTTCAGTAGAAGATCAAACTATATTTGTTTATTTATTTTGAATTAAAATTTTAAAAATATACAATTAAACATTAATCAATAATTTTTGCTGGTGCTTCAAAACAAGTAACAATATTTCTTGAAATGGGATCCTTTAAACTCCAATGTATATCTACCTTAAACTGAATTTAATAATAACAATTAAATGTAAAAATAGTTATTCAAACTTACAAATGTATATTTTACCTTAGGATATGCTTCGGTAATGTATATCTCGTCTTTATATACATATGCACTACCTTTTAGTACCGGACATTTTCTTTTTGTTCCATTTTCTTCAAAGAGATTATTGCATACACTTTTATTATCTACTCCTAATAAGGGTATTGGTATATTTAATGCTATACCATAAACTTCTGTGATTAAATCCTTTACATCAAATTCTAAAAAAATAAAAAATGTATAGGTAAACCTATCAGATATAATGTAATAGAATACTGATAGGCATTTCTATGAGTACTTAGTTGTGAAAATATTTAATAATTCAGTTAAAATATTCTGGAACATAAGCCACAATGTTATGACCATATATTATAATACCAAAAATACATTTCCAATTCAATTCAAGTACTGCTAGCATAAATTTGTTAAAATTGTCTTAAATAAGATAAACTAATGGATGATGATCCAACATAAAGTAAATTCATAGAGTTCTATCATGGTAATCATGAACTTAATTATTTATTTAAGTTTTAAATTGACTGACTAGGACCAAGTACATAAATTAGGYAATAACAATTCATTTTAAATGAGTCAGCATTTGGCTAGATAAATAAATAAATTTTTAATTAGTTTATAGAATTCATAATTCTATTGAATGGGGTGTTACCCGCATAGTTAGTTACTTCTTTGATTAGATAACACAAATTTTTATATTTAGTACACTAGTACAATAAGTTGAAACATGAAAAGAAAACTATAAAAAATAATTTTAGAATTCAAGACAGCCAATATTTCTGACCAAAAATTTATATAGAAAACAATTGTAAACAATGTTATTCCAATGTTTTGTAGCTTAGAGTAGATAAATGTGGATCTCTAGCCTCTGGGTATGGAACATTCCGAAAAATTTAAATTAGAGAAGTCTTAAGAATTTCTCTAATTTATATCTAAGATCTGATTATTATGGAGACCAATGCGAGTATATTATTGAGCTATTTTAAAAATATAATTTACTTATCAAAGTGCAATACATGGATCTTAAAGCATGTTTATCATTACAGTTGGTACAATATTATGATGAAYGAAACTTGAAACTGTTTGACTTGTTAACGATGTTGATAAGTCAAATTTAAATTTAGGATCAAAAATTTTACCAAGTTCCCCAATAGGCAATAGGCCCTATAGTTTGTATGTAGTATTCGTCATTGCAGTGGCGGCGCCAGAATTTTAATACCAGGTGGGACAGGCTGGGGCCCAAATATTTTAGGGAGGGCCAAATTGTTGACTTGATATTTACATATATATATTATATATATATATAAATAGGTAATATAAACAATAGTGACGACAGGCAATTGCGCAGAGGGGGGAGGGGGAGGGTCAACTTCCAATTTTTCAATTTTTTTTTACACTTCATCGTGTTAACTTACTAAAACAATGATTTGTAAATATGTATTAATAGTATTTATTTCCTAACAAAATATATATTCATGTAAAAGTATATAAAAATAGAATGCTTTCCCTTGTATTTTCTTTA